GTTGCAAAAGGCAGCTGTGGCATTCTAGGGAAGAAAACCCCACTTTAATGCAATGCAGTCAAATGCTATGTCTGGACTGTTTTGTGCAATGAAGTATCTTTTTCACATGTTTTCACTCAACTCAGATATAGACTGCATGTCTCATTATAATGACATTGTTTTCTCATTAAAGAATTAGATTAAGAAAAGAAAGCACAAACATTTTCTCATAGGGTGAACAGGACTAATTATTGAACAGTTCTTTAGAAATTCACCGTCTTGAGTACACACTAGGAAGTTGAAATATAAAGTGATATATGGGAAGGCAAAGATATAAATATTAATGATAGTGGCTAATATTGACCTGGAAGCAACTGAATGGAACTTTTTAATAAATGATGCACATTGCTGATTGGTATCAGTAATGCTTAGTTAATTTTTCAACACAAAAACGATGCCAAGGGTTGAAGAGGCATAGATAACAAAGGCAACATCAGACTACTATACTGTGGCACTGTTCTTATGTATGTTGATTATACTTATTATGAATCTAATGAAATGGGTGAGGTGTGTTTTTTTTGAATGGGATAGGAATGAATTTGTAAAGAAAAGTCAATATTTTTTTAATAAGTGAAGAAATAAGTAAATTACTAAATATGATTATCCATAGGTATGAGAACTGCAGATTATCTGATGAAATCTTATAAATCTAGATAAATACAAAGTTTATTTATACTAGTGATTGCATGACTCTTATGGACTACGTAAGCAGATTCCACACTGTTGTTACTGAAAGAACTTTCTTTTCTGGAAATGGCAACTTTAACATTAAAGGAATATCTTGGGAAAACACTGAATGTGATATATCATATGACCTTGTTTTTCTCTTTTTTAAAACACAATTTTACTAAATTTCAAATACAAGAATAAAAATACACAGGTAGAGACAAAGTTGAAGAGAAAGAAAATCAGACAGAAAGCAAAATTAGTGCAATAAGAAAAAGTTTAAAAAGAAAGAAAAAGAACAGTTTCAAACTTTCTTTGGTACAGATAAAATACATTCAACTTTTACCATAAGATTAATAATTATATCATTTTAATGATATAATTTTTCCTAATGTTTTTCTTAATACAGTATCTTTCTCTGGAATGGCCACCCCATCTAAAGAAACTAGTTGCATGATTATTTCTAGAACTCATGGAAAGGCTTCATTTTGATAAGCATTATTCAACACCACATCCCATTTCTTTCCTTTTAGTACTGCCTCAAGGTTTACACCAGCCCCTATGTAACATGGCATGATACTATGGCAATTGTAAATTAATGCATATGGAGGTTCCCTACAGTTGCTCTATTGCCCATTGCTGTGTGCAAGTTAATATGAAAAGCCAAGGGTGACTCTGTTCATTTCAGACACAGGACACTGAGATGTTTAGTAATGCAAACCACATGCCATTGGAATCCTTTAGTCTTGCAATGAGAGTGATCCATGCATTCCATTCAGATCCCCTAATCCTAAAGAAAACAACGAATAGCTCATGGCTTTACTCATGGAAGCCATCCCTTTCTTGACTTCCATACATCAAATGGAAGTCATGCATTCTGAAGAAAATGACCCTAAATATGCATAGTTGACTTACATCTTTCTTGATCTCCTTGTTTATATACACCTATCCAAGAACTCCTACTCTGAATTCTCCTCTCCAGCAACCTATAAATCTAAAGAAGACTTGATTCATCAGCAATGAATGAAAAGGGCTAGCATTGCAGTGTTCATCACTGTATGCTCTGGGTACACTGGGATTTTATTCTCCCAACTGAATGAAGTCATCGGTTTCCATTATAACTTCCATTTCACAGTCAAATCTCAGCATCAAAAGCACTTGTACAGATAGTCCTCTATTTATGACAACTGAATCCAAAATTTCCATTGCTAAGCAAGACAGTTATTGACCTCATTTTACATTTCTTGCCACAGTTAAGTGAATCAGTACAGTTGTTAAATTAAGTGAATAAGGTTTTCTCATTGACTTACTGCAACAGTCATGAATACGACAGTCAACGGTTCGTAGGCTTAAAACTAGTAAACTGACACTACGACATTATTTACACATACACACTTTTAAAAGTACAGTGAAAAAAGTCACGACAACGTTGAAGTTTGTCAGTGATTTACTTACCAACATTCAGCTCCTAATGGACATCACAACTCGTATGACACCATACATCGGAGACTTACTCTTATACACCCTAATCAGCTCAGTTAATTTCCAAGCTAACTAATACCATTGCATTGGACAGTCATAAACATACTATTTAAATGTTTTAAAAAGTTAATAAAGTAACAATCATACCTTATAGATTTAAGCAGTACTGTATTAATAATCCTCAATGAAGAATAATTTCAGCATAGTTTAAAGCATTTCACTTTAAATATCAAGTTTTTCCTTGATGCCAACTAAGTAGGCACAAGCCTGAAGCTTGTGACAGTTTGTCTTATTCAGATGTAGATCTGTAAAACATATCAACAACTTGTTTATAGGGGGAAGGTAGGGCAAGGAACACTTATTTCTCTTAAAGACCACCTACTATCAGGAATAATAATAATAATAATAATAATAATACCGTAATAATAATAATAATAATAATAATATCTTTATTGTCACTTTGAATGTATCGTATTTTCCGGCGTATAAAACGACTGGGCATATATGACGACCCCCAACTTTTCCAGTTAAAATATAGTTTGAGCGAGAGAGAGGGGGGGAAGAGAAAACTTGATGAGTAATATGCTAAACCACATGTGTAAAGGAATAAAATAGAATACCCGTATTTTCCAGCGTATAAGATGACTGGGCGTAAAGACGACCCCTGACTTTTGAGAAGATTTTCAGGGTTTAGAAAGTCGTCTTATATGCCGGAAAATACGGTACACCAATCGGCATACATCAAAATGAAATTTCGTTGCATACAGCTCTCAAAGGGTCATCACCTCCGATATACACTCCTTGTTCGTGGCCAGCTCAAGTTTCAGATCGTCCATTTTAGTCTCTAGGGAGCGAACGATGGCAAACAGGACAGATGGAAATGGAGCTCCATGTGGATTAGCCCTCAAATTAGCTGGTATTCCTGCACAACAACCTTGCCTCCTTTTCTTTTTCTGATCCTGTCTCTTCCACCTTTTCCTTAAAGAGGCCTTGCTTCTTTTTGCCCCTGGAGCACGCTGGACCTGGTACTGGCAGAGGATGGAAGTCAAGTTGCTGATTTATCTCAAAAGGTGCTTTTTTTCTTCAAAAGGCAACTGGACCGTTCTTTTCCTTGAGGAAAAAAAAGAAAACATTTCACTTCTCATCCAAGAAGTTTCATCAGTTCTGAATGATAAGGACTCCACAGACAGATTTATCCCTTTCCACCAATCAATCTTTTCTCACTTTCCCTCTGCATTCAGCAGGTTGCCAGAAGGGGCCACAAAGATGGAAATTTGGTTATCCATTGCATGATGTTGCCCAGTCTTTGAGGTTTGCAGGCTACTTCTTAAAGTTCATCATGCACATCCATCATTTCATGGGTGGAGTTTGTGCCTGACTTTTGGAACAGCATCAACCAATCTGAGCAAAAAATATTCTCATGGGTCAAATAATGCCTGGTTATAGAACCCAGCTGCTAATGGGTAAAAAAAAATCCAGTGAGCTTAAAAGAAGCACAAAACCAAAAAGGAAATAATTCCATCAGACAGTACAGTAACCAATGTTATGCGAAGAAAGGGTTGTTTTCTTATTAAACTGGGTGTGCATTGCAAATAAAAAAGCCACGTACCAGGAAAACCATCTATTCAGTAAATATAAACCCAAGTTTTTAAATAAAGTAAGTTTACACAGCATGCCTGCAATTCCATGTAATGGTTGACAAGGGGTACAGAAAATAGTGTGCAATCAAGAGCAACACAGTAGACCTGGCCCTACCAGAAATCAAATTGAGAATCATCGATTTCTTTCTATTTCTTTTTCACATTTCTGAAATCTGCCTCAAAGAGGACAGCCAAGCAGGGCTTTTCTCCAACGAATCGCCACCAACAAATAATTTTCATGTTTTCTCCAAAAATTCTATTTACCTTCCTGTAATAATCACCTTTGCCAGCACAAAGTTTGATTTTCATTGCTCAATACTGCCAGCAGGCACTGGAGGATAATGATGGGTTACCGTTAACAGTGCCGCCCCCCTTTTAATTGCATAAGAAAAGTTAATTTAAAAAAAAAACAAAAAACCGGTAGCTCTGCTCTCAGCTACATATTCCACAATCGCGTGATAGGATCCTTGGTACTTAACAATACAAGTATGCAGGATTTCTCTACCTGAAGGGGAATTCCAGGCGGAAACTAGATTCCCTTAAAAAAACCCTTTCAGGTGGTTGCCAAATGCACGCTTAAGAAGAGGAGAGAACCGGATCTACAAAGTGGGTTTATAATTCTTTAGCGCAACTTCATAGAGCATGAAAGCTTTCCTTGTAACCGTTTTAACACGTGATTAAATTTGAGCATGAGCCAGTTTCCCCGTTTTGCCTAAAATACCCCGTTCTCAAGTTCTTCTCCCCTAGGCTATCATCCTTAAACCGCCTCCTCCGGTTAGTGACAGGAAAGGGACGCGAGGGAGTTTGCACGTGTGAACGAACCAGTCTCCTTCGCGAATACACTTAAATGCGCAGTAAAGCTATAAAACCACCCCACCAAGGGTGCGAGAGGCAGGGGCAATCACGAGGTGAGGGAGAATAAGCCAGGCCTTCGAAAGATACGTTTGAAGGTCAGCACCGTCGCCATCCCGCCCTCGCCAGTACGGCGGACTTTTCTGCCCCGCAGCTGCGTTTTCCGCGAGGCTGCGCAGGGTGACAAATTGAGGGCGAGCAGTCAAAGCGGTTTGCTCCTCCGCCCTTACTCCCCGGCGGTTCAGAGGCGGAGCTCTAATAGTGTTTTTTTATTTCTTCCCCGAGGCCGGCAGCCAATTTCTAGCAGCGCCTGCGGTCCTGGCGCACCAGCTCTGTTCTCCTCCCGCATCTCTCTCTCTCTCTGCGCGGAATTGCCATGGCTGTCTGGAGCGGATCCGGTTCCGTCCCGGCAACCTTGGTCAGGCCCAGCTTGACCTCTGTCTCTTCGGGAGAGCTGCAGAGCCTTCGGACGTGCAACTGCGAGATGGCGGTGCTACCGCTGCGGCAGCTGCTCTCCCTACAGCCAGACTCCTTCCTCCTGCAAGGGGACACTCTGGCGGTGCTGAGTCCGCTCGACCGGCGGCCCGGGGGCGGCTTCACGGTGATAAGCGACGGGTTTCTCCAGCTGGATGGCCAACAGCAGTGCAGGCTCACCGGCTATTTCAAGAGGTAAGCAGCCGCTTTTCTAATTTTCCTTCCCCGCGCTTGTCTTGATGCAGGGGAAGGAGGGGACAGGAATCTTGCATCCTACAAGTCGCGAGAAAAGTGGGTCTGGCACTTACAAATCTTTCCGTTTTCAAGAAGAAACATTACCTGCTACGTTGCTGCCTGCCGGCTGTTTAGCAAATGGTATTAAAACTAAAAGGTTCATAAAACGGCTCCGTAGTTGTGGGCCTATGTCCCAGCCAGCCACTAATCATTGTTTGTACCCAAACTTTCCTAATTCCAACCTGAGTCCTTCACATGATCTAAAAGCTGAATTGGTATTTTGGTATCATTTGCAGGCTATGAAATGCTAGGGCGGGTGAGGAGGTGACTGTTGTTTGACTTGGAAAGATGGAGAGGGATTTTATAGGGAAAGTAGGGGTGGAGGAGTGAAGCTGGTGTAGTCTTTTCTTTCTCCCAAATAACTGCATTAGATTTAATGGCGGAAGAACATCCCCTAACCATAGTCCTAAACTAGGAGCCAGATTGAATAGATGAACAGGATCTAGTGGGAGACCAGATAAATATACAATATTGCAAAAAGCAATAGCCATTTCCTAATTAATAAACATTGTGCATAGGATTGCCAGGTTACCTTGCCAGTTGATCCTCATTAAATGTAGGACACCCCACATTCTGCAGTTTATTTAAAAAACTGAAAGTAATCCAGCGGTAAATTGGAGCATTCTGATGGACCTTCAGCCAGCCTTCTCTGACAGAGTACTGACCGGTATTTAACATGATTTCCATCAGGCTTTTCACCATGTGATTGCTGTTTAAGAGACCTGATACCTTAGCAAAAGAGCCAGTAGAATAAATAGAGGAAATGTTGAATATCAGCTCTTAATATAGCAATAATCTCCTATTACAATACAGCAATACTCGTGTTTCCAGTTCGATCAATCAAGACTGCCACTGAGATAGAAACAAAAAGATTAATTTTCCGAAGAAGGACATTTATGAGTGTGTGCTTAAAGACTACTAGTCCTACCTGGAGTAGTTCTTAGTCTTATCTGTGCTATGCATACCACTCATTCACAACTCCTGACTTAGTAGAATGATTGCTCCAGGGCCTGCTTTGAAGGGAGGAATCAGAGAGTAGACCTAACTGAACAGGAGGAGGCCTTGATAGAAAGGTCTTGTTTCATCTAGATTAATCTCTAGATAGTGCAGCCTAGAGGCATGGCTACCAACAAAAGAATAAAAGGTGGTGGATTGAATGGGACAGACATTGGATGAATGGGTAGATGGGAATATCAGTCACTGAGGAAAAAAATACAATACCAGAAGTTACCAGAGATGCTGCTATATTCCACCAGGTTGTTGGTTAATATTTGCTCAATGTGGTTCTCCAAAGTTGGTTAGATTTTAATGGAACTGTTGTGGATACTATTTGTTTGTATGAAATGAATTGTACTAATTAAACTATGTTTTTATTAATAAACTCCCCTCCCCTCCCACCAGTTACGAGTGTGTAGTCACTACAGCAATGAGGCTTTATTATTGCATAGCTTCCTTTAAGACATTCTAAAAATTTCTGCCTAGGGGTTTATATGTAAAACAAGTAGCCTATGGCTTCTTTGTTAATTGATCCTGATGTGTTTGACAGAATTGTGTAACAGGTTATTCTTGCATACTTTTGTTTTCTTTGTTGTCTGATAAAGCTCCCAATATAAAAACTTGGTCTTTCAAAGATAAGTAAACAGTTGTGACTTTTCCTCTGCTTTATGAAGGAATCTCTGTAAAGTACATTATTATGGCACGTATCTTATGTAGCCTTTGGAAACATGTTGTAGAGGAAGCATTTGAAAAGTACCTTTTTTACTAAAGCAAATGAGTCATTGGTTCTCGTCCAGCAGTACCAAGGGGTGACACCCTTCAACTTATTCTTGGCATACACCTATCAGTTAGCTGGAAGAGCTGTTTCTTCACAAGGCTATGTAATTTAATACTGTTAATAATAATCCAAGACCAACAAACATTAAACATTGTTTAATATTTAAAAGACACATGTTAAAAATTATGAGAAAATCAAACAGTCAAAATTGTGAAGAAGACACCACTTATTTTCTATAAGTTAAATCAAAAATTTTACCACTGCTAGAGTAGATACTTTAGAAAATTTACCACTGTTAGAGTAGATACTTTAATAGAACATGAGATAGGGATTCAACCTCTGAACAAAATCATAGAAATATGATTTTCTAATAGGAAGTTGAATAAGATAGGTTGACTCTATATGGGGAGAAAAAGCCCTGAATGTGTTTGAAACGTTGCCTTAAGAGTTTGTATTGCAAAATGGTTAAAGGTTTTCATCTATTGGAGGTGAGAAAGACAAGAAAGTTATAATATAAATCCTAAAGTTAATTTGGTATTTGTTTTTTGACTGAAGAAAAACTTACTTTTTGATGATCTTATGCAAGAAGACTACGTAAGTTGCAATCTTGTGTGATGATATCACACACATGTTGTCCTTTGCTTCCATGCAGAGACCCATGAGATGAAGTTATTATGAACAAGGGTCTGTTACGGGAGCGCTTTGTTGGAATCTAACATTGTAGGCTGTTATACAAGCTTATGTATTCCAGAAGTTAGAAAAGGTACAATAGAGGTGCAGTTTATGTAGGAGGACCAAACTAGGTGACATGGCTATAGGCATATTCTTATTTTAAAAGCAAACATGGAAGGAAGGACATTCATAAACATAAAACAATGATAAAAACATCTCAGCTTTTGTCGCTGATGGATTTTTTTTTTATTGGAGAAATTGGAGCTTGCAAATAGTGATCTCAATTTTCCATTATTTTTTCCTTTTAGAAAGCTGTACCATCTTAACTGTTCCTCTCATTTTATACACTGCATATGAATCATTTTCAATGGACAACCAGTATGTCTGGGTTAGCTGACTCATGGATGCCTGTTTACTTATTGCTTCTAGCTCCTTTCCAACTTTTCTTAGATGCAGCTGGCAGTATTTTATTCCATAAAATCCATTAGCCCTGGTATGAAAAATGAAACATTGCAGTTTCACTGCAATATGCTTACAAAATAACTAGTTCTATTTCTAAACAATAAATTTTTTCATAACTAAACTGTTTCTGGAGAGGGGAAAATATATACCATAGTGTTGTCAGC